GTAAAATAATGAATGTTTAAAAAAGGTTGGAAAATATATCTTAAAGGATTATATATTAATTCCAAGCCACTGAGAAGTAGAAGCCAAAGTTCTTTTGTTGCTTCTCCTTAAAGTCTGGAATAATATAAAGTACATTCTTAATTTTAGACATACCCTTCATTGAAAAAAGCGTGCTTTTTTAAATAAAACTTTCTCTTCCTTTCCACTTCAGACAATAACAGTGAGTTAATCTTCTGTGTACTGAGTCCAACAGAATTAAAGTGCTTAAAAGGATTATGGAGATTATTGCAAAGAGAGATTGTGCTTCTGAAATTCAACATCTTGCTGCATCTGCACTGATTAATAGAGTGCAAATAAGTTATTACCCTTAAATTGTGGATTAAAAATAATAAACAAGGCACTGCCATTTTGATTACCCTAATAATCACGTGCAATCCATGCATATAATGTATGCTGGCATATGTGGGGTGTCAGCTGATTGCGAGCTTTGCCCTTTCTTTTCTCTCCCCCCCCCCCCCCCCAACCCCACCATAAAGTGCCCATATGTAATGTGCAGTATGATCAGCTAAGCACAGGCTGTCACTCATCTCTGTCAAGCTACAAACATTTGTGACTACTGTTCTCGATAGGTTTCATCATACTGGCCTTTCTTATTTTTCTAGATGTTAAACATGCAAATCAAGGTGATGCATGTGAGGTTCATGTAATGAGTCCTGATGTCAAAAATATATTGGTGTGTGTTCCTTCTGTTGATTATAATTGTTAGAAATCACTTTCATTATATAGGAGTCTTTTTTTGTCATGTCAGGAGCAACTTGAGGAACTGCAAGTCACTTCTGGTGTGAGAGAATTGGTCATCTGCAAGGACATTGCCCAGGGGACGCCCAGAAGTTTTGATGTTTGACCACCCTTGTGGGAGGCTTCTTTCATGTCCCTGCATGGAGAACTGGAGCAGATAGAGGGAACTCATTCGTGGTCTCCCCGGATTCGAACCTCTGACCTGTTGGTTTTAAGTCCTGCCGGCACAAAGCACCGGGGGCTTATAGGGGTCTTAAAAGGCAAGGAATAGTCAGAGGTAGATTTCCCAGTTTTTTTCTACTGAAATATAGACCAAAGTACCTGGCATTCATTGCTGGTCTCCCATCCAAGCACTAACCAGAGTGTCCATTCTTAGCTTCCAAAGTCAGTTGAGTTATTATGCCTTTGGGGTATTCAGCATGATGGCTCTCTGACACAGCAGAACATAGGCTTCTAACCTTCCATAGCTTTTTGACCATATCTACCATGTCCCACAGTTGATGGTGGTTGATCATGGAATGTTTAGTAGCTGGTGGTTGTTAGTATACAGAAGGCTTGTTAGGATCATGACTAACAGGGTTGTGATGCTGCAGAAAGTATGGAAGGGGTTAATCTCCTTGGTTCTAAAGGGCAGAGTAATCTATCTGTAAGAACTCACAGGTGGCAGCGAAAAGGTAGTAGGCCTGTAAAGATAGGATGCAGGTGTGATCACTTGCACAAAAAAGCCAGGCTAAAGACTGCTCTTTGGGAGAAAAGTATCCATCATAACTGGCCATGGAGGTTTTCCCCAGGTTGGTTGGTTATGGTATCCAGATCTTTAGCATGAACTCTTGTAAGCCTTGTGTCTTGTTGAACTTTGAACTGATAAGATTGTGTTTGATGAACTCTATTGTGTTTGGGTTGTTGTAGGTTTTTTTGGGCTGTATGGCCATGGTCTAGAGGCATTCTCTCCTGATGTTTCACTTGCATCAATGGCAAGCATCCTCAGAGGTAGTGAGGTCTGTTGGAACTAGGCAAAAGGGTTTATATATCTGTGGAATGACCAGGGTGAGACAAAGGACTCTTTTCTGCTGGAGTGTTTGTATCTTGCTGTGGACCTTGATGAACTGTGAAGCCCTGGACTGACTCTTGACTACGGTTTTGGCTTACTCTTGAACTTTGGCTTCTCTGGCTTGATCCAAGGAACTATGACTATGCTTTAGACTTGTGCTCCTTGGACATTTATCATTGAACTCCAGGTGTTTTGACTATTGGACTACACCTTTTGATTACTGCATACTCCTAATTACTCTCCTTGTTAATTAGATTTTGCTTTATATTTTTTTGTAGTGGGCTACTTTTATGTTTGAACTCTGACCTTGAAACAGTCATTGTTTTAAGTCAAAAAGTTTTTGAGACAAACTGGATGTAGTGTTTGGGTCACCTCTGCCTACATACCAGCAGAGCCCTGCATTGTGACAATACCTCTCTTATTGTGTAGGAAAATCATTTGAGAATGACTAAATGGGAAAGCATGTATACCACAACATAACTATGGACCTGGGATTTCTGGACTACATCCAGTGCTTAAATAATACCTTGTAAATTTGCTTTTATGAGCAGATTAAGGATAGAAGTTGTTTCAGACATGTGAAACAAAGACCAATAGGCCTGTGAGATGCTTAACATAAAAACAATACATCTCCAAATATGCCCCAGAATGTTTAGTGAAATGTTAGGGTTCCAACATGAACATGTCAATACCGAAAGGGCTCTTGGGGCACATCAACACTTATCATATGGGCTGGCTTTGAACTGGTTTTGCCTGTGCAGCTGATGAGATTGACAGGTCTTTAACTGATTTGAGACCAGAAAAGGGATTACATTTACCACTGAATCTGGCCTCAAACTGCTTTGCACTCCCCTCCCCTTTCTGTGGAGATGTACAATCTGAAGGAATCAGAGGTGAAAAAAGAAAGGGAAAGTGACATATAGGAGTAGAAGTTATCAGTTGTCAAAAAATGCCCCAAATGTATGTCTGCGTAAGAGGCTCCCCTCTTAGCCAGACATATGCTTGGGGCATTTTTAAAAATATTTTTATTGATTTTTTCATTGCATATAAAATTAAGCTTAAATTGGAGTGTGAAAAGGGAGAAAAAAGGAAAAGAAAAAAGGGGGGATTAATTATGTTTACAATGAAAGTGTGAGAACATTTTGAATTAGGACAGTAGGAAATAGAGGGATGTGGGGAAGTAAAACGAAGGGGGGGGAGAAAGGGGAAAAAGGAAGAAAAAGAAAAAGAAAAAAGGGGAGGGGGGAATAAAATAAAGAAAAAAGATAAGATGACTTCCAGGTTATCTCCGGTTGTGTTGTTCATTCTTTTCTTTCCTTTTTTTCTAGTTTTGCCTTCAAATTTATTATTATTATTAGTCTTTGAAGTTTCTTGTTATTTTTGCAAATTTATTTCAGGGTTCTCATTCCTAATAAAGTCAGTAAATTTATCCCAGTTAGTTTTTTTGTCTCATTATGTTGTTGTCTGTTAGTCTTTGTGTGAGTTCATTATATCCCAAAATGCTTGGGGCATTTTTTGACAATCCCATAACCCCATATTCAGAATTTTATACAAAGTTTCAGCGAGAACTGGTGTCTACAATGAGCTTTGTATTTTGCAGAACCAATCTGCCCTTTGATCTGCGATATATTGGGATCTGCTACAGCATATAGGTCTTATCTTGCGTTCTCCTGCAATTTTCTTTAATTCACCCTTTAATCCATGCTACAGCCACATTGGTGGCATGCATTTTGTAACCAGCAGTTTCAAGTTGTCTTGAAGCTGCATTAAATGGTCTGTGTACATGGGTCCTTGGTGTCAGAAAATTTGCAGACCTCAAATCACAGATCATAGAACCTTAGAGTTGGAAGAGACCTCATGGGCCATCCAGTCCAACTCCCTGCCAAGAAGCAGGAAAATCGCATTCAAAGCACTCCTGACAGATGGCCGTCCAGCCTCTGTTGTAAAGCTTCCAAAGAAGGAGCCTCCACCACACTCCGAGGCAGAGAGTTCCACTGCTGAACAGCTCTCACAGTCAGGACGTTCTTCCTAATGTTCAGATGGAATCTCCTTTCTTGTAGTTTGAAGCCATTGTTCCTCATCCTAGTCTCCAGGGCAGCAGAAAACAAGCTTGCTACCTCCTCCCTATGACTTCCTCTCACGTATTTATACATGGCTATCTTGTCTCCTTCTCTTCTTCAGGCTAAACAAAATCAGTCTAGCCTCAATCAGAGACCCTCAAAATGGAATAGAGGACAACTCCCAACATCCTACAAAAGCATAGACATTAAGATTGCAGTTGGGGTGTGTTCTATCTTATCTGGAGAACACCAGATCGAGGAAGGCTAACTTGGATAATTATTAGAGCAGTCACATCCTTAAGACATTATTGCATGAGAACTGGAGCATGTGTTAGCATCTGTTTAACAGTGTGTGCTTACACTACATATCACACAATGTTGTGGCAATACCAGTGGCATTCCAGGTTTCTCCTGTTTGGCTGTATGTTTTAATGGGGGGGGGGGGCATAAAAAGGCTCTAAATAGTACTTTATTTGATTATTAATACTGATGCAATAGGAGTGCTTAACCTTTCCCTGCTCCACTTCCCTTTTCCCTAGCTGTGACCATAAACTGGCAGGATAAACTCATATGTATAAAGCTGTGATTTGTGATTCATTGTCATCTCTATATTATGATGGGAGATTCAGAGAGAGAAATGCATGTATGGCAGTCCAGAAAAGGGCACTGCACAATGGCAAATCGGTGTACTAATGAAAACACAAAATAGGAGAGTCACATGTTAAATAAGCCAAATCTTGAAATTGTGCAGTTCTTCCAGATAATAAGAAAAATATTAGGTGGACCGTATTACAGGAAGTAGGGCAATACAAATAAGTTCTCATTTTCACAGAGAACAGGACTACAATACCTAAACATATTACTGGACCACGGTGTGATAATGTCCTTCGAATGGAAGCTAATTCCTTTATAACTTTTTTTGTTATAAACTTCGGTTAAGTGTAAATCATGCTCATACTGCTATGTGGGAGATACAAATATTGATAAAGATACATATTTGCATAATCTAAAGATTCACTTTAAAAAATATGGCTAAGCAATATGTATGTCTATGTCTGTATCTAAAAATATTGCTCTTCTTTATTTTCCAGAAAAATGTGATGAACCATTGGTTTCTGGCTTAGCCCCCTCCTTCTTCAGCAGTTCTTCATCTATACCATCTGCATCAAATAGCTATGCACCAGGGTTTGCAAAACTAAACAAAAGAGGAGGTAAGAGATTTTCTTCTGGGGTATCTTCTTACATACATTTTTTTTTTAAAAAAAAAATGAAAAATGTTTCATGGCTAATTCATAGTGATGTGTGTTGGTGAGAAAAAAAGATGTAGTTATGTATTTGTTGTTCAAGTATGTTTATGCATGTATAGCCAGAGGCGGCCCTAGGTAATTTTCAACGGTAAGCAAACAGTATTTTGGTGCCTCCCCCAATCAATCATTCATATATATTTTCTGTTTGTCGTAGGAGTTCTGTGTGCCATATTTGGTTCAATTCCAGCATTGGTGGAGTTCAGAATGCTCTTTGATTGTAGGTGAACTATGCATCCCAGTAACTACACTTGCCACATTTGCTCCCTTGCCTGGCCCGCTTTGGGTCTGGAGGCATGCCTGAAGACCCCGGCGTATGCACCAAAAGTCACCTCTTCTCCTGACTTTCTTCTCAGCCATTGGGACCGAGACAGAGGTGGAGATGCCCACCTTTCCTGAAGGTAGGTGCAAAAACAAAGGAGGGAGCGGAGGTGGGAGATACCTCCAGCCGGAGGGGCTCTCTCTCTCTCTCTCTCTCTCTCTCTTGGTCCCAATGGCTAAAGAGAAAGTCAGGAGAAGAGGTGATTTTGGTGCGGCTCCGCCCCTTGACCCACCCGTGGATTGGGGAGAGGAGAGGAGGTGGGTGGAGTGTCGGGGGATCAGGAAAGGGAGCCGGTCATGGGGAAGGGATCAAACGTGGAGGACGATTGAGCGCCGGCTCTGCTTGCGCACCTGGTGGCCGGGTGGAGCAGGAACGAGAGGGGCTAGGCGAGGTGCAAGGGCCCAGCCCCTTTGGGAAGAGGATTGCCCGGCAGCGAGGCAAGAAAGCTGAGGCTCCCCCCGGACTACTAGGGCTGTTGTGAGCTGAGGGGGTGCTCCTCAAGTGGCAGTCGAGGGGCATTTACAGAGGCGCCACTGTGCCCCTGGCAAAAAAAAGTGTTCAGCGACCGCTTACTTCGCGTAATGGACGAGCCACCCCTGTGTATAGCTATTCTTATTTTCTTAATTTGTGTTTTTTCTGTTAAAATTTATTAAAGGGGCGGGTGGGGATTTATCATTTTCTGCTCAGTCTGTCAATTTCACCAGCCGTAGTAGCTGCTATTGCTAACAGTCTTACTGCAGTTGTCATATACTGGAGCAATCTTTTCCATTTTTGCACCTTAAAGTCCCCAAGGTAACAGTTTGATTTCAATTGGATATTAATCTTTATAACCCTCTGTATTTGTACCCACTTTAAAGCTTTTTCAAATGTCCACTATGTATGAGAAATGCTCTTTCTCATTCACATTTTCAACACACATTAGAATTTCCTCTTTATAACAGAATACTTTTACATCTCCAGCCAGTTGCTTTACTGCCTCTTTAATTTATTTCATCTTTTCTCTCTGACCTTCCCTAATTTTTTTCTTCAGTTTTGTCAAGTTCTCTTTTTGCACCATATTTACTCATTCTTCTTTTGTAACAATATCACTTTTCAGTGATCTGATGTTGCAAAGCAACTTTTGCAACATATCTAGAGAACTTGCAATTGTTTTAGACTCTTTAGACACACTGTCGTGAACCAGATGCCTTAAAGGAGCCAGACACAAAGTAAATGTTCAAATAATGTTTATTAACACAACAAAAATAGCTTAGGAACACTTAACTCAGTGTTCCTAGCAATAACTAAGAGTCTGCAGCAACTTCTGTGCAAAAAATGTAGCTTAAAGAATAATCTGGATTATTCTGGGATATAATCTGGGATAACAAAAGGTTCTAGCAAACTGCTTCAACATCAGAGTTCAATAAGTATAAGAAAACATCCAGTGAACTCTACTTTCTCCTTGCTGCTTCCCTCTCCTAATGGCAAGAGGCCATTCATTTAATGAGGAAAGGCAGCCATTTTGGCTTTGCTTTCTTAGACTGAGAATAAAACTGACTTTTGGAGGTTTAAGAGATTTACAAAATTCAAACAAAAAAGTATTGGGTAAGTTTTGATTTCTAAATTTTGGTGTGGGCCATGCCTGTGCATTGTGGTAGCTTACTACCACATGTTATATATTCCTTGAAAAACTACAGCAATTCAGACAAAGTAATTATGTTTTTAAATTGTCAAGATTTTAGCTGCTGCCTTTCAGTGGCAAGATTCCTGAATGAAGTCTGTAAACTGAATGTGTAGCAAAAGTGAAGTTCCTTTTTCTATTATTTGTACTGTATTTTATACCTCTTTGCTATGTAAATGCCAATAAAGGCTTATTGGATTGGATGTTGGCATTGAATATCACATCATAAGTATGAATTTCACAAATTTGATACAACTTATAACTAACAAAAAAATTGCAAACCCGATATATAATCTCCAATTTAAGAAATGTTGAAACTGAGGAGGAAAAATATTTCTCAGAGCTCTGTTGCCCCCCCCCCCCCCCCCCGGCTCTTTATCATATATATGAAACTGCTGAGAGAGTTCATTTGGAGTATTGAAGTATGGTGCTACTTACATGCAGATGACACCCAGCACTACTACTCCTTTCCATCTAAAGTCAAGGAAGCTATCGTAGTCCTAAACCAGTGTCTGTCATCATCAGGGAGCAGGGAGAAAACTCCACCAATGAGTCATCTTCCTCTCATGAGATGAAATAGCCAAGAATATATGTTCCTACATTGATGTGAAGCAATTAACAGTTTAAGGATATGTTTCTACAATACTGTCAACTATTATTGAGCTTTAGTGTTTATGTGTTAAATACTTTTCATTTACTTGCAGATGTTTCATGTCTTCAGAATGATGTGGTGTTTAGATCTCAAGGCATGCAAATTGAATAGCTTTTAATCTATCCTTGAATCCTTTAAGACTGCTCTAAAGAATTACTTACAGTTGATAAATTAGATTATTTTAAGGACATCATTTCACAGTTGTAATGAGTGTAATTCACAATCTTTTTTTCTGTTTTTGTTGTGCTTCTTATGTGCCCGCAAGTTCTTTCCTAATGTGAACTTATCTTGGCAAGATTTATTCATAGTGAGTTTCCTATTCCTCTGAGGCTGAGATGGTATGCATTGCTCAATGTTACTCAATATGTATTGTCGAAGGCTTTCATGGCCAGAATCACTGGGTTGTTGAAGGTTTTTTCGGGCTGTATGGCCATGGTCTAGAGGCATTCTCTCCTGACGTTTCGCCTGCATCTATGGCAGCATCCTCAGAGGTAGTGAGGTCTGTTGGAACTAGGAAAAAGGGTTTATATATCTGTGGAATGACCATGGTGAGACAAAGGACTTTTGTCTGCTGGAGCTTGGTGTGAATGTTTCAACTGGCCACCTTTGATTAACATACAGTGGGCTGACTATGCCTGGAACAAACTTTTGTTGAGAGGTAATTAGATGTCCCTGCTTGCTTCCTCTCTGTTGTTGTGCTGTTGCAATTTTAGAGTTTTTTAATACTGGTAACCAGATTTTGTTCATTTTTATGGTTTCCTCCTTTCTGTTGAAATTGTCCACAGTGGTTCAAGGGAACCACTGACCGCATAGGGAAACTGATGAGGAAACACAACATACAAACTATCTACAGACCCACCAAGAAAATCCAACAAATGCTACGTTCAGCAAAGAACAAGAGGGATCCTCTCACTTCTGCAGGAGTCTACCGTGTACCATGCAGCTGTGGACAAGTCTACATAGGGACCACCAAACGCAGCATTGCCCAAACACGAATCAAGGAACATGAAAGGCACTGCAGACTACTTCAACCAGAGAAATCAGCCATAGCAGAGCACCTGATGAACCAACCTGGACACAGCATTTTATTTGAGAACACAGAAATGCTGGACCATTCTCACAACCACCATGTCAGACTACACAGAGAAGCCATTGAAATACACAAGCATGTGGACAATTTCAACAGAAAGCCTACAACAACCCAGTTACTCAATATGTTTCCATAGTTAAACCAAAATTCAAGTCTGACATTCAAACACTTGCACGTCTAACATTCAAACATTTTTTTCATTCACCTAGAATATTCCCTAGGTCATGCATTGCATCAGAATACCCATGTTTTAAGTTATAATTGCTAGACCGGATGTAATGTAGATATTTTAGGAAGTCAGCAATGCCATCAACCAACAACAACAAAAATAACAAAACCAACGAACCTAATGGGATCCCTGCCAAAATCTTTAAAGAGGATGAACCTGAACTGACACAACAAATCCACCACCTCAATGAAAAAGTGTGGGTGACCGAGAAAACCCCAGCAGACTTCAAGGATACCACTATCATCACACTTTTCAAAAAATGGGAAAGAACAGACTGCAGAAACTATTGAGTTATCTCCCTTCTAACCTCCGCTGGAAAAATCCTTGCAAGTATCCTTGCAAACTGCCTTCTACCTGTCTCAGAAGACATCCTCCCAGAATCTCAGAATGACTTCCATCTCTCCAGAGTAACAGTGGACATGATCTTCACTGCATAGCAGCTCCAAGAAAAAAAAAACAGGGAACAAAATCAACCTCTGTACATGGACTTCCTTAACAATCTTTTCCAGAATCTTGCCTGGTATCGACGTGAGGCTGACCGGACGGTAATTGTTTGGGTCATCCTTTTTTCCCTTCTTGAAGATTGGGACCACATTGGCCCTCCTCCAGTCTGCTAGAACTTCTCCCGTTCTCCAAGAACTCTCAAAGATGATTGCCAATGGTTCCGAAATGACTTCCGCTAGTTCCTTCAATACTCTTGGGTGTAGTTGATCTGGCCCTGGGGACTTGAACTCATTTAGAGCGGCCAGGTATTCCTGGACAACTTATTTCCCAATTTGGGGTTGGATGTCCTCTAATCCCATCAAAGTACTCCAATGCATGGCCATCTGACCTCTTTTTAAAAACCTCCCAAGGAGACTCCACCACACTCCAAGGAAGTATATTTCACTGTTGGATAGCTTATTTTTTTTCTTAATGAGCAGAGATGACCAAAGTAAGCTCCACTAAAAAAGA